ATGGATGCCACGAACTCAACCATGATGGGCATGTAGCGCTGTCGCTTTTCCCAAACTTTCTGTTGGTCTTTTTGGATGTTCTGCATGTTTGACCACGGTCCACAGACTGGCGCCATGAGAATGAGATCAGGCGCTTGATCCTTGCTGATCTCCATGACCATGCGTCGTCCCTTGGACGTCATTACGTCAAATCCGCTGCGAATGTCAACTGCAGTCCCACGGGCACTCCCTGAAAAGATCTCGAGAACGTGAATCTTTTCCTTGTGTACACAGTTCCAATGCGCTCCCTCAGGGATTGATGTCATATCTTCCACGAACATGTTCTTCGCAGATCTCGATGCTGCAGGCTGAGGAGTTGATTTTCCAGCAGTGCGACGTGGTCGTGAGGACGCTGGCTTCGGAGCCGGAATGGATGATCTCCCCCCCTTGGAATCAGTGGAACAACCTCCTTGTTCTTTCTGCAACGATTCCTTCTCGTCAGGCAATAAGAAATCAATTCCAGGTTTTCAGGAGGGATGGTCTCATCCTTTCTGACCTTTGTCATGTTGACCTTGATGAGTCAAGTCCAACCATTGCTCCTTCTAAGGAAATCACTCTTCCTTTTAACCATATTCCTCCCTTGCTTCCATCGGAGGTCTCTCCGGATGTCCTCGGATTGACGAGCCTCTTGGATGCTTGATCTGGATTGCTGTAAGCTCTTCTTCATTTCGGTCGATCGTCAATTGAGTCGGTGTTGCGACATCCAGTTGGATGAGATCTGCAGGTCTTCGTCCGAATGCGAGCTCCAGAGGTGTTACACCCCTGTAGGTGACAGTTTGATTTCTGACAGTTGCTGCTGCCTTCACAAGTTGTCGGTATGGCACTTTCTTCAGTGTCGCAGGCGCGTTGCCCGACTTGATCGAATTGAGCATGATCTTCAGCTGAGCCTTGAATAATCGAACTGCTGCTTCAGCTCAATTTTGGCCATGGTGTGTTTGGTCCCAAGGATATCGGTGTAATGTCGAGGGACTGGTAGAAGTGTTCCCATGTCTCCGTCATGAAGGCTTGATCGCCGACAACTGATCTGGCTGCAGGTGGTACTGCTCAAAGTAGTTCCTGAGGACAGTGATGTTCTCGGCTTCTTGCGTAGTTGTCACTGCCTCGGCGGTGAGCAATGTCGTTGCTCCATCCAGGATGACAAAAATAATGATATGTTCTCCGGTTCCAAGAGGAACCTGACAGTGGTCAATGAATGTCATGTCTCTGAATGTGTCCGCTCGAAGTCCACTCGTCTTGCTTCTTGAAGGTGCATGTTTTGCTGCTTGGCAAACTTCGCATTCACTTCTGATGTTGTCAAACAGATCGTAGATTGATTTTGGTAAGTGAAGCGCACAAGTTCTGAATCGAAATTGGTCGGTAGTCACATGATGATGCTGTAGGTGGAGCTTTTCAGCTCTTCTGGTTTGGACAATCGCTGATGAATTCTGTCTAAGGCAAGCGGAAGTGAAGTAGGTTCTTCCTTGGATGGCGTTGCAGGATCTGGCTCAATAGTCGACTGGCCCTTCTTGTCGATGATCCTGCCTGCTGCCGATCCTGAACTGGATTCTTTGTCTTTCAGCGAGTCGTCCCCGAAGGTAAATGGTCTTACCCGTCCACAGGTTGATCAATGGTTTGTTCGCCTGGGATGTAAGTCTCCAACTGTCTTCAAGGATTTCTGGATCCCCACCCTCGGACGCATCACTGATTTCCGTTGTACGCTCTCGGCTGATGTTGTCAGGATTAACCGGACACTCCTTTGTTCCCGTTGGTGTGAGCAGTGCCTTGCGAGGCGTGATGCGCACACGGATGAGCTTCTTGTTCTTCTTGTCGAGTATCCAGTGATCCTGCTTGAGAGAACCAGTTGTTTTGGGAGTCGCTGTCTCTTCTTTCGCCTCGGTTTCCTTGGATGCACAAGACTTGTTCACTCACTGAGTGTTCCCTCGAGGGAAATTGGATGCTGTCATCATCATCGTAAACGTAGTTGGTGAGGCACTTAATGGCGATCTCTCCATGGGGTTTCACTCTTGCAACTCCAGCAAGATTGACGAGTGCATGTACCGGATACCGGAACTGCTTGACGATTCATACCAACAGCCTTACACGTGATCTTGTCACATTGAGGTGTATGCTCGACGGTCGTGTACAGGTTCCGCATCTGACCAATGCTCAGGAGCATCGGTACAGTTCCTTGTTCAAGGATGTCGATGTTGGTGCTGCATGGAGGTGTCGTATGATACTTGAGGTGCAAGGTCCAGTTTACCTTGGCTGTCTCTCCATTTGCAAAAGTGAAGTGAACTTGGTCTCGGCCGGGATGTACGAGTAGGAGATGAGGTTTTTCATAGGTTCGATGGCCTGGGTAAAACGCTGGATTGCATGCCAGCTGCCCATGGATCTGGTACATCCGTTGTCCAGGATCGCATAGGTCGAATTGTGCTGCGGGTTGATGACAGGCGCCACCAGCTTTGTTGCCAACAGGCTTTGTTTTGCAGTCGCCGTCATTGACTGTTCAGAAACTGCATCGGCTTGGATCAGCTTCTCATGGATGGCGTCCTTCTCATGCTGCTCATATGCGTCATGGATGGCCATCATCGCTTGTGCTGTGCTGGATGACTCATGGGATGAGCACTCCCGGCAGGTGCATTTCCTTGCGCCTGAAATATTAACACAGCTTCACACACAAGACACGCCTGGAAACAATGCTCCCACAGAGGCAAGAAACAAGCTCTAACTAACTGGCTATGGAAGCCTTGCAGCAAGGTTAGAATCAGCACATCCATGCTGGGTGGCCCTGTGTCGGTTGACAACGAGCGCGGCGCGCTACAAGACCTGCAACATACCTTTGCGCATTTCTTGCGCATCACTTGTGTTCCAGCAACAAGACGCAAAATTCCACCTCAGAGCAAAGATGATCAGAGAGAAGACGTCACACTCAAAGGCAAACATGACAATGCAAGTTTGCAGCGCAAGTGAAACGTAACTTTGGTAACTCAATCAGAGGCCGCGCCAAAATCAAAAGTCAAGCCACGCAGGACATCGCTCCAACCGCTGAGCCTAAAGGAACTTGGCCACGCAGCCGCCGTTTTGCGGAAGTTTGACTTCCGGCACAGCAGCATTTTCTCACACAAACAACGCTCCCAGGGAGGCTCGAACTCCCGACCTTGAGGTTAACAGCCTGACGCTCTAACCAACTGAGCTATGGAAGCCTCCAATTCCAAGATGGATCCCAATCCTGATCTGTCCAACCGGCATATGTAGGCTTTGTGGCTGGTGCAGTCGGCTGCATGGCGGGCTGCTCCTCCGTCTTCTCTGCGACGGCGTCTTGGATTTTCCTTTTTCCTGTCCGCCTTTTCCTTTGCCATTGTCATAGGATGGATACCCTTTGTTTTCATCATAAGGATATTGGAATTTCGATTTTCCTTTCCTTCCCTTCTTTCTTTTGCCTTCCCCTATATGCCTGGTCGTAGGGATCCTGATTTTCACTGGCCATATTGGCCTTCCCGCCAGAGCTACCTTTTCGAAAGGGTTTGAAGCCACCTCGTTGGTGACTGCCCTTTTTGCTTCCTCATCGTTGGTTGACATAAAACCTTCCAGTCCTTCTTCGTCTTCCACCCAGAAGCCTTCTTCACCCTCACAATCTCCTTGTTCCAAAATGTGGGTTTCCTCCGGATGGTCGGATGGGTGGATCTTGGATGGATGTTCCGGTTGTGATGAAGAGGTCGTAGTACTGCGTTTTCATCATCTCGTAGGTGTAGTTCTCAAGCGAGATGCTTCTCAACGACATTGCACTGATCAGTCTTTCTCTTTGCTGATCTGACAACTCACTTTGGGTTATGAAAAACTGTGCAATGAGGTTGTCGCTGAGGGGAAGTGCGTCCCGGTGCCTTGTCTGCATGCCTGTGAGGCACTGTCTGAGTACTTCTGGATTGTCTGGCTGCAGCAGGTCTGGGGCGGCGCTCGTGCGCCAGCGGCTTGCTGGTGCGCGGCAATTCTTCTTGCATTGGCCTCTTGGACTGAAGCTATGAACTCGTGACTGTGCCGTATGAACTGGCATCAGGTCCATCCAGGCTGCCTTCAATCTCATCAAGAGGATCTCAAATTTTGATGTAAATATGAGAAACTCGGTGTTCTGCTTCTGTGGTTGAAGAAACTGACGAGTCTGTGTAAGTACACGTTGATCGACCCTTTCAGGAAGAACTTCTTCAGCGTGTTCTTGAAATAGTTGACTCCTTTGTCAGGATCTTGCAAGAGGTCGTTCTGGAGGACTGCCTTGTACATATGAGCGTCTCCTGTGACACGGCTCTTGAGGAGTGGTCCTCTCTTGCATGCTTCAATGGTTGTGAAGGTCACCCAATCATCTACAAGTTCTTCATATCGAAGCCAGCTGACTCTTCCGTCGTACGATGGCGGCTGCTTGGCGGTCATCAATAAGTTGAGCGTCTCTTCAGCGTAGCCGGATTGTCGGCCAACACTTGAATAGGCTTCCACGAAGCCTTCTCCATCGGATGACATTGTGTTTGGATCTCTACGGAAAACCCGCTCCGCTACCACTATTGAGACCCACTGCCAGGGGTACCGTATCCCCGAAGGGAGCAGGTACCTTGTGGCAGTGGAGAATGTATTGGTAGGTCCCCGGATCTATTCTGCAAGAGAGTCCAACATGCCAATAGTGGAGGAACTGAGAATGGAAGTCCCTGGTGCGATGTATACCTGCAAGGCGCTCTGCTAGGTCCTTTTGTAATGGCTGCAGGATGAATGCAACTGTACTACAAGATAGGGCCTTGAGCCAAATAGCATGTGTGTGGTGCAGGGTCAATTGCGAAGCAAAAGCAACACAGGGGGCGAGGGGAGGGGGGGGGGGGGGGGGGCGGGAAAGACGCCCCTTGAGAAAACAAAACTTGACGCACATTTATGGAGCTCGAGGGACTTGGTTCTTAACCCTATTCTCAGGGCGGCCATGATGGCATGGCCGTATGGCGAGAAGCGTCTCCCGCAGCAACTCCTCCTCCGCCCAGGCGAGCTTGTGCCTGTCCACCAAGCGTTCCAGCCGGGACTCGGGCACCGAGCTCAGGAGCATCGAGGCGAGGCTCTGGAGAGCCTCCGCTTAAGTCCCCCCGATTCTTCCCGGTCGGCTCACCGGTTCAAACGACTCAAGCCAAGCACTCTGGTGGGTCAAAATCCCGACGCCCCAGTGAGCATCCGATTCAATCCAACCACTCAAATTGGTTCTAAAATGGGTGATGAATTCACCTACCAACCAAAATGGGATCCCATTGGGTTTGGCCCTCAGCCATCTGATGTCAGCATGCGAAAGATTCTGCAGGAAGCTTGGGCCAAATGGTTCCGAGGGCTGCAAGGCCTCCTTGTTTCTGGAATGGTAGGCCACAGCCACATCCCAGGAATACGCCTGCTCCTCAGTCCAGAGACACAGCCAATTTAAGTTTGGCAACAAAAAAAAAGAAGCCCTCTTTCGACGAGGGAATAGCCATGAAAAGTGGGGCTTGCTCCTCAGATCTTTTCCGAGGGGCTTGGTCCATACGAGCATACTTCTCAACGAAGCTGTAATCCCGATGATTGTCCTTGGCTCTGGTTGCGGTCTGGTCTGGTCCCTAGGCACTTGATTGCAGCTGAGGGGTTTAGTTGTGACACAGGTGAATTTGAACGCACGACATCCCTACGACACTTGAAACGCCTTCAAACGATCTCTGACCCCATAGCCTGAATGATTAACAATACTGTTCCCTGCTAGTATTGTCTACCCCGGGCAGGTATGAGTGGGGATTGAATCGGATGTTCACTGGGGGTACGATTTGGCTTTTGACCCATGGCCAGATCCCGAACAAGCAATAGAAAAGACTGTGATTTGCCACAGATCCCGCAAAGGCACGGGAACCTGCACTTTGAGGTTGTCATCGTGAAATGTTTTTAAGACCCCCCCTTAGGACATGGATGAGTATGTGGGATGTGCATAGCTGAAATGTAATACCCTCCCACGAGCATATCACCTGCGGGAGATTTCCACAAAGGAAAATGAATTTCGAAGGGCACCATTGTCAGGTGCTGTGGCAGGGTGGGAGGGTAGTCCCTTCTTCTGCACTCCCCTTAGGTGGGGCTAGCTGTGAAGGTGTCAAACTTGAACGAGCCTCATGGTTCTTAGGGACCCCAAGACCCTATTCCTTGCATAACCCAGCCTAGTCCCAGTATTTTCCCAAGCTAGCCGGGTCCCCAAAGGGTCCTAAAGCCGCTACTCCCCTAAATGGACACTTGGCACGAAAAAGGTTTCTGAGGGGCAAGGCTTACAGGGCTCAATAAGAACTGTTTCCTGGGGGCTGATCCTCAGATACCTGCGAAGTAGTGGTCCAATGGTAATGGGCTGAGAGGACTACACAGGCCTGTTTTAACGCTACTCACAGCGACCCGTCAATCCCATCGTGTTGCCTGGTCCACAAGACCGGGAAGTTCTGTTTCACCACAAGAGCTTCTGAAAGTTCTGTTTCACTGCAGAATCCTTACATTATACACCTGAACATTGCAACTTGTAAATGGTGGTGTCCCTATATCTTGGTGGGAAAAGCAACATGTTTCAACTGGGCAAAATGTATCTTTTAAGGAGCCCTCAGAACCAGCCAGCATAGGCCACCAACCTTTTGCTCTGGGGCTTACTGGCGTCCTCAAGGCGCCTCTTGGAATCGCTTCCGCCCCCACCCCCACCCCCTGGTGCTGGACAACTAAGCATAACTTCTACATAACATATGCCCCACACAGGCCTTGGAAGGAGTAGACTTCCAACTCTAGATCTGGCAATGCCACACGCCTTGCGCGAAACACACTTCAGCCCTTGCTAGCCCAGCATCGCCGATGAACCTGGCGGTCGTTGCCACACAAAAACAACATCGCAAAAGTCGGGTTTCAGGCGACCAGGCGACTTTTAGCTGGAATCATCCATGGACTCTGGCTCTCGCCTCTGGACCCGAGTCAGCTCAAAGCGACAAGCAACAAAACTGCTGCACTCCTTGTCTGCTCCCCCAACAAGCCTCTGGACCCGATGCTGCAGCATGAAGCCTTGGTCAGGGCTGAAGTTGCACAGAGCTCTAGGGAGTTCGGCTGCAAGAAGTGAGGGAAGCGGACGAAGCTTCGATGCGGACACGGGCTCTGTGCTTTGGGCAGGATTCAAAATCTGAACCTTTCAAGATCACCCCTTTCCTATTTGGCCGTGGCTCAAATAAAGGTACCAAAATGGCGCCTGGGTAAATGGAACCAAAGACCAAAACCTGCGTAACCCCAGCTGTTGAATTTTGAGCCACAGCCATTTGAAGAAGCACCCTTGCGAGCTAAGGACCACCTGTTTCAACGCTCAACCCAACTCCGCAACGCTCAACTCCACCCACCTTTCGCCCGGAGAAAAAAACAAAAAAAGAAAGGAGCTGCCAGGAAGCGCATGTGGATGTCAGAGCGGAGCAGCGCCGGGTGACCCACATTGATCAA